CTTCTCCCGCCATCTTTCTTACTCTATTTTTACTCTATGCGGTGCTACTGGGGATGGGCATCAACTTGGATGGCTGCAAAATAGGATTCGACCCATTCATGGAGGGAAGGGCTTGCAATGTCTACTAGCCACAGTAGCTATGTGCTATCTCGAGTGCCGGAGACAATATGCATGTCTGAATGCCAATTGCTAGGACCCACAAGTGGGTAGAGTGTGGTTAGACTTGTGTCCTGCTTTTGGGCTTTCCACAGGCATCTGGTTGGCAACTGTGAAAGCAGCATTCTGGATGAGATGGGCCATTGGCGTGATCTGGTGTGATCTGGTGGAACGCTCTGTCACAAGAGACTAGGGCCCTGCGGGACCTGACATCTTTCTGCAAGGCCTGCAAGACAGAGTTGTTCCACCAGGCCTTTGGTCAAGGCCCAGCCTGACTCCCTCCTCTGGCAACCTGCACAGAATTTTGCTTAATGGTTGCCATTAATTTGATTTTAATTAATTTTTATAATGAAATGTTTTTAGAATGTTGGATTATTTGATTGTTTGATTATTTGATTGTTGTTAGCCGCCCTGAGCCCGGCTTCGGCTGGGGAGGGCGGGATATAAATAAAATTTATTATTATTATTATTATTATTATTATTATTATTATTATCCACCAGGGCTCAACGCTCTTATGTCCGCATCTTAAAATCATAGGCGAATGCTTTGAGATAGGAACATTTGCACCAAACCTATGGGATATTTGGCTAGAAACATGGTGGTGCTTTGTCTCACCCAGGACCCTTCCCTTGCATACGTTGTTGTTTTGCAAGAGGAATATTTGCACCAAATCTGTGGAATATTTGGCTAGAAATGTTGGTGGCACCTTCCCTTGTATACGTTGTGGAGGCCAGAAGCTTTCCACTCCAAGCCAGCTGTTACTCCTTGTTGTGATAAATGCATAGCCAGACGAAAATTGGCCAAGCAGCAAAAATCCCCACAAAAAGATGTCTGAAATGGAGACTGGCTTGATTGCTGCTTTACACTTGCTTTTCAACCATGACCACAATGTTTTCTGGTCAAAAGAGTGGTGGTCTTTTGAAGCAGTCTATCTCAGCTACGACTTTGTTTCTTTATTCCAAAGAATCCTATGACATGGTGGATTTAACAACAGCGAGAGAGGCAAAGAACCATAAAGGGAGAATTAAGAATGCCAATAACTCTCCATATAAACTGTTCAGAAGAAGTCATTATCTATAATGGCACAGTCAACCAAATTGGAAAAGGACCCATTCACATCCACAGACGAGCAAAAATCCTAGACGTCCCTACATCCAGGAAAAAAAGCACAAAGGAAATGGAGATTACGTTGATGGCCATTTATTTATTTATTTATTTATTTTAAGCTTCTGTATACTGTGCTCTTCAGCTGACAGAGGCACTTACGGAAGATCAATAAAAACAATAAGAATTCATTAAAGGGGCAAAAAAGTGTGTGTGGTGTTTTGAACAGCCTGTTCAAAAGGGGTAGAGACAATGACATTTCACTCCATGGGTGGTGGCTATTTCTCTACTTCACAAGGCACTTGGACCTAATAGTCTCTGATTCTTCTAGCTTTTAGTGGGAATGGCTCATTCATCTATTTCATATTAGAACTTATTCATGAGCCAACAGCAGTTTCACTGGGGCAAGGACTGAGGTGGGGTGCGGGGAAAGAAGATTCATCATCCATTTCCCAAGTGTAACTTTAATCACACATTGTATGGTAAAATTTTATAGTGATGATTTGCAGGTCACCAAGCTGTTGCAATAAAATAACAAAAGCATACCAAAAGCTATTTTAAAAATAAATAGCAGTATGCAATGATGTTAGGACTGTGTATAAATGTCCTTGCTAATGTCACCCAAATTTTGAATGACTGAATGCTGCTCCTTGTGTTAAGTTATGCAAATTGTATGAGATGGCGTGCTTTCTCTTTCTTCCCTTACTCTCTTCTGATTCTGCAACTCAAGGAAAGAGGTGAAGCTGTACAAGGAACCTTCTAATCCCCCAAAATCTTACTTCATAGAATCATAGAATCATAGAGTTGGAAGAGACCACAAGGGCCATTGAGTCCAACCCCCTGCCAAGCAGGAAACACCATCAGAGCACTCCTGACATATGGTTGTCAAGCCTCTGCTTAAAGACCTCCAAAGAAGGAGACTCCACCACACTCCTTGGCAGCAAATTCCACTGTCAAACAGCTCTTACTGTCAGGAAGTTCTTCCTAATGTTTAGGTGGAATCTTCTTTCTTGTACTTTGGATCCATTGCTCCGTGTCCGCTTCTCTGGAGCAGCAGAAAACAACCTTTCTCCCTCCTCTATGTGGCATCCTTTTATATATTTGAACATGGCTATCATATCACCCCTTAACCTCCTCTTCTCCAGGCTAAACATGCCCAGCTCCCTTAGCCGTTCCTCATAAGGCATCGTTTCCAGGCCTTTGACCATTTTGGTTGCCCTCCTCTGGACACGTTCCAGTTTGTCAGTGTCCTTCTTGAACTGTGGTGCCCAGAACTGGACACAGTACTCCAGGTGAGGTCTGACCAGAGCAGAATACAGTGGCACTATTACTTCCCTTGATCTAGATGCTATACTCCTATTGATGCAGCCCAGAATTGCATTGGCTTTTTAGCTGCCGCGTCACACTGTTGGCTCATGTCAAGTTTGTGGTCAACCAAGACTCCTAGATCCTTTTCACATGTAATGCTCTCAAGCCAGGTGTCACCCATCTTGTATTTGTGCCTCTCATTTTTTTTGCCCAAGTGCAATACTTTACATTTCTCCCTGTTAAAATTCATCTTGTTTGTTTTGGCCCAGTTCTCTAATCTGTCAAGGTCGTTTTGAAGTGTGATCCTGTCCTGTGGGGTGTTAGCCACCCCTCCCAGTTTGGTGTCATCTGCAAATTTGATCAGGATGCCCTTGAGTCCATCATCCAAGTCGTTGATAAAGATGTTGAATAAGACCGGGCCCAAGACAGAACCCTGTGGCACCCCACTAGTCACTCTTCTCCAGGATGAAGAGGAACCATTGATGAGCACCCTTTGGGTTCGGTCAGTCAGCCAGTTACAAATCCACTGAGTGGTAGCATAGTCAAGACCGCATTTTACCAGCTTCTTTACAAGAATATCATGGGGCACCTTGTCAAATGCCTTGCTGAAATCAAGGTAGGCTACATCCACTGTGTTCCCTTCATCTACCAGGCTTGTAATTCTGTCAAAAAACGAGATCAGGTTAGTCTGACATGACTTATTTTTCAGAAATCCATGCTGACTATTGGTGATCACAGCATTCCTTTCTAGGTGCTCACAGACTGTTTGCTTAATGATCTGCTCCAGAATCTTCCCTGGTATTGATGTCAGACTGACTGGGCGGCAATTATTTGGGTCCTCTCTTTTCCCCTTTTTGAAAATAGGGACAACATTTGCCCTCCTCCAGTCTGCCAGGAGTTCGCCTGTTCTCCAGGAATTCTCAAAGATGACTGCCAGTGGTTCTGAGATCTCATCTGCCAGTTCTTTTAATACTCTTGGATGCAGTTCGTCTGGCCCTGGAGACTTGAATACATCTAAACTAGCCAAGTATTCTTGTACTATCTCCTTAGTTATTCTGGGCTGTGTTTCCTCTGCTGAATCATTTGCTCCAAATTCTTCAGGTCGGGCATTGTTTTCATTATCGGAGAAGACTGAGGCAAAGAAGGCATTGAGGAGTTCAGCCCTTTCTGTGTCCCCTGTTTGCATTTCACCATCTTCTCCTCTGAGTGACCCCACTGTTTCTTTGTTCTTCCTTTTGCTACGAACATACCCATAAAAGCCTTTTTTGTTGCTTTTAACCTCTCTAGCAAGCCTGAGTTTTATTTAGCAATTGCTCTCCGATTTCCAATTATTTGGCAATTGCTCTCCGATTTCCAGGGTTCCCTCAGCCGCTCTTCACAACCGTAAAGGTAGAAACCTTGCTATTTAAAATGGGAGCTGAGATTCAGGAGGCAGCAAATTCTGTGGACAGTGCCACATCCCACAAAACTGTGTCCTACACCCCCACGCAGCCTTGTTATAGCAGGGTGGCAAGATGCGACAGAGGACTAGACTTCTGACCAGATGTTTTCCCCACCCCTCATGTACAAGAAACTGTTAATATGTACAAATTACACTTTCGGAAACCCAGTCTTGCGTGTTGAGACCCCGAAGCCCCCCCTTCATTGAGAAATAACACATACAAGGACACAGATATCAGGTTAATGTTATTGGGCAATTTTTGGCCACAACTTTATTGAATTCAGAATGTGAGCAGTATTGGCTTAGGCATTGAATGGACCCAACTATATCTGACTCCTGCCCGTTGCGCAGGGAGTCCAGTAAGGGTAAACCACCGGAAGGAGGAGCCCCATTGATGCATACCAACTCGAGCTCCCCCTGGTGTTCCCGTCAGGGTCGTGTCATGGCCCTAGCCCCGCCCTGGGCTTTGGACAAGATCCACATCCCCGGATTCCTTTAACGGAATAACCTTAAGTTTGGAGGGGCACACCTCCCCTCCCCCATCATAAGGTCAAACAATGCCTAACCGCCACAAGAGCCCAAAGGCTCACCGCCAAATACCCTCAAGCCTGTAACCAATGCCTCAAGCCCTCTGCAATATCGGCCAGCCATATATCAGTCCCCCAGTCGGAAAGTTGTACGCCATCATCACAAAATAGAGCCAGTATGGTGTAGTGGTTAAGAGTAAAAATGGATTGTTAACAGGTGATAATCTAAAATTATAATATATTAAGATAAAAGATTAAGATAAAATCAAAGAGGGAAAGGATTTGCTGAATTAACTAATTTGAACTGGAATACAAAAAAGGGAGGTGTGAGGAGGTCAGGGAAACAAGCAAATGAAAGATAAGATATGGAAAGACTGATCTGTTTTTTTAACTGTTTTTATCTTGTATTTTCTTTCTTTATTTTTTTTCACTTTATTTTTTTTCTTCTTTTCTTTCTTTTTTAGATTATTTTTGTAATATGTTGAAACTTTAATAAATATCTTTTTTTTAAAAAAAGAGTCTCGTAATCTGGGGAACCGGGTTCGCGTCTCCGCTCCTCCACATGCAGCTGCTGGGTGACCTTGGGCCAGTCACACTTCTTTGAAGTCTCTCAGCCCCACTCACCTCACAGAGTGTTTGTTGTGGGGGAGGAAGGGAAAGGAGAATGTTAGCCTCTTTGAGACTCCTTAAAGGGAGTGAAGGGACGCGGGTGGCGCTGTGGGTAAAACCTCAGCGCCTAGGACTTGCCGATCGCATGGTCGGCGGTTCGAATCCCCGCGGCGGGGTGCACTCCCGTCGTTCGGTTCCAGCGCCTGCCAACCTAGCAGTTCGAAAGCACCCCCGGGTGCAAGTAGATAAATAGGGACCGCTTACCAGTGGGAAGGTAAACGGCGTTCCGTGTGCTACGCTGGCTCGCCAGATGCAGCTTGTCACGCTGGCCACGTGACCCGGAAGTGTCTGCAGACAGCGCTGGCTCCTGGCCTATAGAGTGAGATGAGTGCACAACCCTAGAGTCTGTCAAGACTGGCCCGTACGGGCAGGGGTACCTTTACCTTTACCTTTTAAAGGGAGTGAAAGGCGGGATATCAAATCCAAGCTCTTCTTCTTCTTCATCATCTTGCTGTAAGCTATGGTGGGGTGTGCAATCACCCGTCCACCCAACATGTGCACCTTCTGTGCCACAGAATGATTCAAGCGTTTTCGGGTATGATCTGTTGCGGCTAGGCAGTCGCTGCCACGCTAAACGCGTCTCTCCAGGAGCAGTGGCCAAAAAAGAGTCATTTTGGGGAAATTCTGCGCTAGATTGTCCAAGTCCTTTTTGAAACCCAGTCTTCTTCTGCAAAATCATTGTAGGACCCTCCCATGTCCTCTTTGTCAAAGGCAGAATTGACATCCGGGGGGTGGGGAGTCAACCAAAAAATCCTGGTTTTCACTTTCTGAAATACGGCAACCCTGCGTATGCTCCAAGATCCTACAGTTCTTTAAAGCGACGGCTGCCACTGTTGCTATCATCACATTTCCCCCACACTGTTAGGTGAGACATATTAAACAGCCATCTGCCGAGTGCAGTAGGTTGCAGACTGGCCTTATTTCAGGGTTGAAGAGTAAAGCTTAATTGGCATAGAAGCTAGCAGGGATGAAGAGCTCTGATCTGGGTGGCAAAGAAAAAAAGCAGCTTCCAAGTGCTCCTGTTTATTTCACATGTCTTTTCAAACATGCTGCTGCCGCTGCCTTTTTTGCCTTCCCCAACTCTCTCTACCCAACCCCCGCCTCCACCCCCACGGTCATATATTATTTTTTAAACGCCTTCAATTATTTAGCATAAGCGTCGTTTTTTGAAACAATTAGTTCAGCGGCTTGCCTTCAGGTGGAGTAAGGCTGCAGTCAAAGGCATTTCCTCATCTGATACAGCCATTTTCCCAGCTGGTTTTTATTCTCAATATCACACAACCGCAATTGCACTCTGTCTCATTAGTTACATTATCTCATGAGGATTCTCATATCCTGGGTATGTGTCAGGCACTGGCTGGATGCAGAGGAGCTGTGCCAGGCCCCCAAGCGAACCCCAAGCGAACCCCCAAGCGAACCCCAAGCGAACCCCCGGGGGAAGAAGGCTCAGAGCCAGGGGATGGGTGGTGGACGACGATGAGTGGTCAGCGGGAAAAGAGGGAACAGACTGGGAGGAGGTGTCAGAAACTGAAGAGGCAACACGGTTTAGTGAGCAGGAAGAGGCTGTGGTAGAGAGCAGGCCAGGCTCAGAGACAGGAGTGGAGGGAGGACAGAAGACAGAGATGAGGCAGACTGCTGAAGAATCCTGGGAGCCTCCCCCTCTTTCTGCAAACCAGCTCCCCTCTCTGCTGGTCTCCCAGAACATGCAGAGAAATGAAGACAGTGGAGCAACAAGAGACAAGATGATGGAGTCTTAGGCTGCTGGGGGAGGAACCGGGGGAGGAGCCAAAGAGAGCAGTGGGAAGGTAGGTACCTTCATTCTTTGCAACTGCTTCATTGAGGCATGACCTATGGAGAAGGGTTGCTGTGACCACTAGCACCGAGCCATTTTGTTTCTTTGAATAAAGACTTAGCTTCACAGACACCAGGTGCTTTATTGTTTAATTGCTGGCATAGGCCTTGACCCCAGCTCCTGACGTGGTGAGAAGCCACACGAGATACAAATGTGAAGCAAAACAATGAAAGAGGCCTCCGTGAAGTGGCCTCAATGTGTTTATAAACTCTTCATTTTCCACAAGCTTATGAGGAGACTGACCATAGCTCAGTGGTCAGCTTTAAGCCCCAGCATTTCCAGGCGGACGTGGGAGAGTCCTCTGGAGAGCTGCTGCCAGTCAATGTCAACAATAATGGGTTAGAATCAGGGGTCAGCAAACTTTTTCAGCAGGGGGCTGGTCTACTGTCCCTCAGACCTTGTGGGGGGCCGGACTATATTTTTTTTTGCGGGGGGGGAATGAACGAATTCCTACACCCCACAAATAACCCAAGATGCAGTTTAAATAAAAGCACACATTCTACTCATGTAAAAACATGCTGATTCCCAGACCGTCTGTGGGCTGGATTTAGAAGGCGATTGGGCCGGATCCAGCCCCCGGGCCTTAGTTTGCCTATCCATGGGTTAGATCAGTGCTTCTCAACCAGTGGGTCCCCAAATGTTGTTGGACTACAACTCCCATCATTCCTAGCCAGCATGACCAGTGGTCAGAGATGATGGGAGTTGTAGTCCAACAACATCTGGGGACCCACCGGGTCCCCAGAGAACCGCTGGGTTACATAAAGCAGCTTCCATTGTTTCTATGACTTACTTCCAGTTAAGTGTTGGAGTGGAGAGCCTGTGGTCCTCCAGAAGTTGCCAGGCACCAACTCTCACCATCTCTGGCTACTGGCCAGGCTGACTGGGGCTGTTGGGAGTTTGAGTCCAAACACCTCTTGGGGGCTGCCGATTCCCTATCCCTGTGGCCATCATCTAAGATCTCATCTGTACCACTGTACCAGGTAGAGAGGCAGTGGTTCCTTATGATCTTGAGTCTCCATAAGTCATGCTGCAATCCACATGGCTTTGCTCCCAGCCTTGTTCGTTGGTGTGCCTTACCCTGTGCTCCAAATACAAAGAGGGGGCTGCCAGCTAAGTCATTTGCCTTGATTGCCAGGAAGGCCCTGGTTTTGTTTTGTTTGATTTTACCTGGGAGTCTGGCTGGGAGGAAGCCTAAGCACCAACGTCTCAAAGCATTTAATTTATTAGAAGAGTAACTAAAAGAAGAGAAGACTTTATAACCTCCAATAACGTGGGTAATAATGCCTAATTATAGAAAGGAATTATTAACTTTGAGTTAGAAATAACTCAAAGTAATGTGAAGTGAAGTGAAATTCTTTACAAAGAGAGAGTGGTGATGAACATCAACTTTTAAAGCAATATTTGAGTGGTATATTAATGGGATTAATACTCTCAAGACTAAATGTCCTCCTTCTTATGTCAGTTGTCTCAGATTGGCTTAGGTTTGAGAAGGAGTGATTGTGTGTATGTGCATGCGTGTGCGCCCATGTCCAAGGTGGGTCTAGAATCCTAGAGATGTTATTATGCTTTTCTGGACTATGTATTAGTCCTCTCCAGTGCTATTTTTCTAGAAAAAGAGGTGCCGGAACTCACCATGAATGCTGCCCTTGTTGTCATATAATGGCGATGGCGCTCACCTGAGAGGTTCCGGAACTGAGTTCCGGTGAGTTGCGCCTGAAAAAAAGCCCTGGTCCTCTCCAACTGCATGGACTACCTTGCCCTGAATCTGAGGAACCAAACATCTCCTACATTGCCTCACCAGTCCATGGATCTATCCATGGTCCTGCAACTCTAGCCTTGCCACATGGGGTCCATCATCAGACCAGAACAGGACAGGGTGTTGCTTTTCCTCTGCCTCAAGCAGCAGCTTGTCATGGGCTTGGTCCTGCTTTCTCAGCACAGCAAGAAGATGAGGATCACTTTGTCTCTAAGGCCCAAACACCAAGATCAGGGACTAAAACCAGCTTGCTGAAGTCGTGGCCAATGAAAGAAGATGGAAGCACCAAACAGAGTAGAGCGAAAAGAGAGAGAGGTGAACCTCAAAACGATGCTCAAATACATCATGTAAGAAAAAATGTTGCCTGAAGCATTTCAGTAGGCAACTTCCTCAGGGACAGAAGAATATAATTCCTTAGAATACTCTAGCAAGGCAACATATCTCAAGACATTCTGTCCAGTAAAGTCAGACACAGCCCACAGCCATGTCATGTGGCTTTTCAAGTGCTTGGCAGCCCTCTGGTTTCTTCAGCAAGGACAAAAGCTTCACCAAGTCCCCAGTAGCTTGCATCCATTCATATCTGGTGGCACTGTGTTTGGCTGAGCGAGTTGTGCAGGTCCCTGGAAGAAAGTGAGGTCACCAGAGGTCCTAGTTATCAGCTTCCTTCTGCTACAGTTATAGATGGTGTTTGCGCTCACTAAAATCTAGATATCACCCAAAGTAAGACAAGGGCGCTGGTGGCATATGCTTGATTTATTCCATTGCTGCTTTTATTCTGATGTTGTGTTAACAGCTTTTGATTTTACGTTCGTATTCTATTTTTATGCTTTGTGCCGCAAACAAACAAATAAATAAAATTTGAGGGTTTTTTGAGACACTGGAATGTGTTAGTTGTCACCTTCTTTATATGGCCAGGGCTGCAATCCCCACACCGCAAAAACTCTTACACACACACACTGTTATTTTCTTGAACGTACAGTAAGAGTTTTGTGAGCATCAAAGCTTGCATCCTGCATTTTAAAGATCAGTTGTTCTAAATAAAAGGTGTTCTCCCACTTGCTTTGTTTTGTTTTGTTACATTTTGCTCTGTTCTGTGGGACTTTGATGAGCTGTGTGAAGGCCAGTAGAATTCTGAGAGTGTTGACTTTCATATATAAAACAAGCTTCCATCTGTCATGACTACAAAGAAAAGCTTAAGATGTGAAGACGTTGGTTGTAAATAACAGAAGCCAGTGAAGATCTGAGTGAGGTTTACAATGTCCATGATAAGCCTTTTTCATTGTCTGTCAGGTTATTTGTCCATCCCTATGAATTTTAGCCACTGCTCCAGGGTCATTTGCCCAGGAATATTCCACGCACGAGCATCATTGTTCCTGTACTTTTCCTTATTTTCCTCTTGAGAACTTTCTTGAAATTCTGAAGAACATGCTTAAAGTTTGTAACTCGACTAAAGTATTTAGAAAATGCATTTAAAGTATGTCTGTAGAATGTGTAGAATCATAGAATCATAGAGTTGGAAGAGACCACAAGGGCCATTGAGTCCAACCCCCTGCCAAGCAGGAAACACCATCAGAGCACTCCTGACATATGGTTGTCAAGCCTCTGCTTAAAGACCTCCAAAGAAGGAGACTCCACCACACTCCTTGGCAGCAAATTCCACTGTCAAACAGCTCTTACTGTCAGGAAGTTCTTCCTAATGTTTAGGTGGAATCTTCTTTCTTGTAGTTTGGATCCATTGCTCCGTGTCCGCTTCTCTGGAGCAGCAGAAAACAACCTTTCTCCCTCCTCTATGTGACATCCTTTTATATATTTGAACATGGCTATCATATCACCCCTTAACCTCCTCTTCTCCAGGCTAAACATGCCCAGCTCCCTTAGCCGTTCTTCATAAGGCATCATTTCCAGGCCTTTGACCATTTTGGTTGCCCTCCTCTGGACACATTCCAGTTTGTCAGTGTCCTTCTTGAACTGTGGTGCCCAGAACTGGACACAGTACTCCAGGTGAGGTCTGACCAGAGCAGAATACAGTGGCACTATTACTTCCCTTGATCTAGATGCTATACTCCTATTGATGAGGCCCAGAATTGCATTGGCTTTTTTAGCTGCCGCGTCACACTGTTGGCTCATGTCAAGTTTGTGGTCAACCAAGACTCCTAGATCCTTTTCACATGTACTGCTCTTAAGCCAGGTGTCACCCATCTTGTATTTGTGCCTCTCATTTTTTTGCCCAAGTGCAATACTTTACATTTCTCCCTGTTAAAATTCATCTTGTTTGTTTTGGCCCAGTTCTCTAATCTGTCAAGGTCGTTTTGAAGTGTGATCCTGTCCTCTGGGGTGTTAGCCACCCCTCCCAGTTTGGTGTCATCTGCAAATTTGATCAGGATGCCCTCGAGTCCATCATCCAAGTCGTTGATAAAGATGTTGAATAAGACCGGGCCCAAGACAGAACCCTGTGGCACCCCACTAGTCACTCTTCTCCAGGATGAAGAGGAACCATTGATGAGCACCCTTTGGGTTCGGTCAGTCAGCCAGTTACAAATCCACTGAGTGGTAGCATAGTCAAGACCGCATTTTACCAGCTTCTTTACAAGAATATCATGGGGCACCTTGTCAAATGCCTTGCTGAAATCAAGGTAGGCTACATCCACTGCATTCCCTTCATCTACCAGGCTTGTAATTCTGTCAAAAATGAGATCAGGTTAGTCTGACATGACTTATTTTTCAGAAATCCATGCTGACTATTGGTGATCACAGCATTCCTTTCTAGGTGCTCACAGACTGTTTGCTTAATGATCTGCTCCAGAATCTTCCCTGGTATTGATGTCAGACTGACTGGGCGGTAATTATTTGGGTCCTCTCTTTTCCCCTTTTTGAAAATAGGGACAACATTTGCCCTCCTCCAGTCTGCCGGGACTTCGCCTGTTCTCCAGGAATTCTCAAAGATGACTGCCAGTGGTTCTGAGATCACATCTGCCAGTTCTTTTAATACTCTTGGATGCAGTTCATCTGGCCCTGGAGACTTGAATACATCTAAACTAGC